AACTGAATACATATTTGAAATGCGCTCTCAGGGAGTCAGCTTGGTTTTCCAGGCTTTCCTCCTGGGTGTCTACTAAGGGTGTGGAATGCGTTCGTAGACCTTCCATTTTTCTTTACGCTCTTCCAAACCTTAGCTTCGTCTCTATAAGAATTCACAACCATTATGAACCTTTGTCGGCTCTCCCATCGAGCCTGCCGGTGTGCCCTCCGTCCTTGAGATTTGATCTGCTTACCATTTACAAGGTTTTCTGCTGTGAGAGAATCGCACAGAAGGCCCCAGGCATTATTTTTTTTGTTTTCTTCGGGCCTTCTAGCAGTCATCATTCCACCAGGGAACACGACGTTTATTTGCGACGCTAGTTTCCGGTGTACATTTAGTAGCTGTGTTAATAATAAAGGCAGTAAAGTACTTGACAGCAGGGTCAATACTAAAGCCAGATAAATCCGCCCACCAGATCTTTGCGAGGCTGTGGAAATTCTCCCAGTTGGCTCTGTCAACGTTCCACCGTGGAGCCCGAGATGAAGAGTCATATTGGCTTTGTGTTTTCAGAAGTATAGGGAAGTGGTCACTCCCATAGGAGGTTTTAACCACTTCCTAGTTAAAATAAGGTAAAATGAACACGGAGATAATGGTAAGATCAATGAAGAAATATGAGTTGTTTGCAAGGCTAAAAAAAATGCAGGTTCGTTTTTGTTAAGCAGGCATGCGCCTGTGGAAAAGATCAAATTCTCAATGAGCTGGCCTCGCGCGTCGATGTGAGAGTCGTCCCACAGGCTGCTGTGAGCGCTGATGTCGCCGAGGACAAGGTAGGGTTCCGACAACTCATCTATAAATGACTGAAAGTTGTGCTTGTTTAGCTGCTATTATGGGGTATGTATATTGAATAGATTGTAACGAGGTTATTTACAATTATAGCTTGTATGGCTATTGCTTTTAGTGCCGTTCGGAGTGGAATGCACTGTCATGTTACAGTTCTATAGATTATAGTTGAAACACCGCCTGGTGATGCAAGAGCATCCTGGCGGTCCTTGTGAAAAGCGACATATTGATGGAGAATATCTGTGTGTTTTCGATTTAAGTGTGTCTCCTGCACACACAGCACCTTTGGACGAAATCTTCTAAGTTCTTGTATATCATCGAGATTGTGTAGGATTCCTCTAGGATTCCATTGTAATATGTTCTCCATCTTAGAAGTGTGAATGTGATGTGTGTCTCGAAGGAGAAAAGTGACTTATTTTGGAGAGCTCTGATTAGCAATTTGTCTTTTTTGGAGCAGTCGAGGAGGTGCTCTCGCCTCTCCTTCGGTGCAGTCTGCTCCAGTGGTCCAGCAGTGTCCATCGCCTCTGGAGAGGTGGCGGACAGCCGTGTACGTTGGCTAGGCTTCGTCACGACCGACGAAGCCTTTGTCCCTATTGGGCCAGAGGTCGAAGGGACTTCTTTTCCTTGTGTGCTGCCCTGACTGCTGCCAGGGTTCACAGGGGCCTTTGGTGGGGCCGCATTTAGTGAGGGTGAGGATACCGAGGCTGCTTCCCCGTGGGGGCTAGTGGCGGTTGCCTCGAAACACTCAGCGTTGTCCGGGACCCCGCCAAAGGCGTCAGTGGTGCTGATCCCCCTCGCACCACTTCGGCGTAGGACGTGTACGTGTTCCCCGAAAAATGCAGGGAGACACGCTGCCGCGCTTTGCGAAAGCTGATGTTCAGTTTGATGATTATACTAATAATCTCTTTTTCCCTCTTCCAGGCCATGCAGGACCTGGAGTATGCGGGATGATCACTATCACAGTTGGTGCAGTGTACTTCAGAATTATGATTGCAGCAGAATAACCTTTGGTGCCGTATTTCGCACAGGTAAGCTGACCTAAGCAGCTCTGGGAGCCATGCCCAAAACTGCTGACCCTTAAAGCAGCGCCAGGAATACAATGTCTGGCAGGAAAGTTGAGATACCTTATTGTTATTTCAGTGGGGAGAGTTATAGATGCAAAAGTCAGTATGATGCGTTTCATTGAAATTTCCTTGTTTTCTCTTCTTATTTTTATGCACTACACTTCGATGACATTCTCATCTTTCCAACCTGTCAGGAGCTCTTCGTCCATTAGATCTATCAGGTCGCCATCAGACACGACACCCTTCACAGTGCTAAGTGTTTGGTGTGGTTTTATGATGATGGCCAGATCGCCAAAAGCTGTCAAGTTACATAGTTGCTGGTACTGTTGATTGTCTTTCAATTCAAGAAGTTGGTCACTACTGGCGGTTATTGTGGGTTTGTATCAGTCACCTAGTGTTTACATAAGGCACTTAGATACTAGAAATCAAATGGTGAAATGTTTCTTGCCTTCTTTGCTGTGCTGTTGCAGTGAATTATTTGAAATTTGGGGTAGTTGTCTCTCTTGGTGGGGAGAAGCTGAAAGATTACATCGGTGCACCACCTCTTGGAGGGGGAATCCATTGTAATGGGGCTAAAAGTTCTCATGAATTTTGTAACTTATTTGGCAGCCATGCCAGCCTCCCACCTCTGAGCCCAACGAGGAGACACTGCGAGACACGAAGGAAACACAACTGCCAACTGTACATGACCACTATAACTTCACTTATCTACCCAAAGTTGGATATTTACACCAGGTTAACCCTTGCGGCCGAGAAATGAAAAGAAGTGAGAAGAGGACAGAAAAGATTAAAAGTAATAGAAAAAGACAAAGATAGAGAAACAGAAGGAGACAGGAAAAGGTGACTGCCGATTTCCCCTGGGCGGGTCAGCCCAGAGATGCGTCCACAAGAAGCTGGGGCCAAAGGGGGTGTGTTGCGTCTGCCGGGGGGCCTAAGGATCCCTAGATTCCCTTTTTCCCCGAACACGGCTAAGCCACGCATGGCTAAGCGTAGGAGGGAGTCGAAACATCCCCTCTGTTAGCTCGGGTCCAAGGTGTCGCTACACACCAAACACCTGCTTGCACAGATGCCCCTGCGGGGAACAACTTCATGATTGACGATATCTATATGGTCAACAACTTCATGGTATAAAGATCAAAATTCTAACTGCAAAAGAAAACATCTTTGTGATCCTGTAATATAACTAGTTTTCCATACACTTAGGAGTATAAGAGTTTCACAGAATAAGACATGGCATAAAGATGACAAGACAACTGAAATGCAATAAGATATTTACACAGTAACTACCCCAGATCCCCCCAAAAAGCTGCATAAAAATAACTGAAATCAACTTTTATAACAGCACATACTAAACTGAGTACAGTTAAACCTGCTTATAATGAACCTCCATATAACAAATTCCTTGATATAAAGAAGTTTTGAGATTCCCCACCGTTACTCCATACAAGCACATGTATTTGCGACCTCTATGTAACAAAATAACAGTAGGAGACAACCTTGATATAGCAAATTTTTGCCACGGACAATCTAAGAATTTGCCCCCGATTTAGTTATTTTTGGCACGAGCATCTTTCGCGATTGCCCCATCGCCGACGAAGCGGCGGTGATGCGCTCATTGCCCCGGCAACGAGCGGGCAGTTGCCATTGCGCGAATGCATGCGCGAATGTTCCCACCCTCCCCCTTCCCCACAAAAAAAAAAAAAAAAAAACTACTTTTCCACGTCTCTGTTTCTACTGCTCTGCTTTTTCTGATATCGATGTTTTGTGGTTTTTGTAGTTTAGTAAGTACGTAACAACTTGCCCAACAAGCAACTCTCCTGAACAACTTTTCCATTGGCACTGCTACGCTGCATATAGAGGGTGCTGTACCGAATAGTTTCCCGTAGTATACATGTTGTTCGCTCTTCATTTTCAACGCCATGCACGCATGCATGGTTTGCGCGAATGGTGTGGCCCCCAACAACGTTCAGCATTGCTTTTCTTTTTTTGTCACTACCAAGATGTGAGATTAGGTGCTGATGGAAACTCTGAAACCACGGTGACAATGACGAATCTTCGGAGGATGACTCATCACGCACTTGTCTTGCGCCCGCCGCGAGATCGTGAGACCACAACCTTCGCGATTAGCTCGAGCAACACACAACAGCGCGTTGAATGTAATGCAATGAATGCGATAATTCAGCTGGCAGCCAACTTTTTTAGATCCGATATCGCGGAACTCCTGCTAAACATTCGTGTAAACAAATACGGCCGCTCCAGGGAGAAGTGCTCTTTTCACACAGTCTCTTCGCTTTGAAATCGTACTGATGCTTGCCGACATAGCACGCGCGCCAGCAATTGCGACCGCGCCCTGAAAATCAAAGTTCACGTTGCTACTCGAGTGACCCCCCCCCCCCTCGCAATTTCGCATGCTTGTTCAATACAGGTGGTTTCCTTTCTGTTTGAGCATTCGACGGCAGTTCTAACACGTGAAGAAATGTTATCGTATGTGCCCTCCAGGTGACAGAGATGGGCCGGCGGCTACTTTTATCTTTGCTTCAGCAGCGCTCGCGCACTTTTACCTGTTTATAATAGTTACGAAGCGCGGGAACACGTTGTCAATCTGGACAACATGTTTACAGAAAGTGGTAGCGACAGCGAAACCCCCCGAGAGTGTCCATATAATAGCATTCCAAATAATGACGCAGTTTTCTTACTACTAAATAACTGCATGGGTTAGCTCTGCCTTCAGTTCCGGCTTTATTAAAATTGTGCATTTATTTTTCAGATTTTCAACTGAACTTCATAAAACGAAATCCTCTTCATAACAAATTTCGCTGAGAGTTTGTCAATTTGGTTATGTCCAGGTTTAACTGTATTTCATAAATTAGAATGAAGATGTACTTCCAGCACACATGCTTTTAGTACGTAAGAAAAGAAGAACATCACTTTATGCTTAAAGTCAAATCTTTTTTGAACAACACAAGAACTCAAGAAAGTTTTATGATGGCCATTTTTGTAGCACAAGAATGCGTGGGAGTAGTCTATTCCCATTTTCTACTTTCGCATGTGCTTGTGCTATGAGCATCTTAGTAGTAGCAAACAAACAATTGCATATCATCATGATGGTGAGCTCACCTGTTGTGGTATGTGACTATGGCTGACACTGCTCTTGAAAGAATCCGGAAAGTGATCAGACTGACGTGCCAATACAGGAATCGCTTGAGTCTAATAGAAGAAGTCGTACAATAAAACAGCAGAACGCTTAGACACTAGCAGAACATAGACAGACATGTCTGACTGACATGACAACACTGTTATCCACAATGTAAAAGAACAGGCTTCACTCACCGACCCTCTGGAAAATATCCCAATATGGCAGTACAGCAGATAAGCCAAATCATTCCAACGCATGTCAGTCCCACCCTAGGCAAAAAATAAAAAGGAAATAAACAAAAATCAATAGCTGTCCAGTATTGGAGTTCTGGTAAAATTTCGTTACAAGTGCAAAAGAAAGCAGGGAGAAGTCAGGCGAAATGAAAATGATGGACAGTATACAGATTTTCCCAAGCATTGTTCTTCTGGCTTTAAAACGGCTTTGTAACTTTGCAAAGAGGTCTATAAAAATATGTATTTTGCATCATATATGAAACAATTCACAATAATTTTGGATGTGAAAAACACATTCCATTTTGTGCGTTCAGAAAGATATTTTTTGCCGATTTATCACGACAAAGCATAATCAATACCACTGAAAGAATGCCTAAAGCAACAAGCACAAATGTTGAGCAAATGCCACTGACGCATATCCCATTAAGCTTCTTATGTTTACCTAAAAAAAAGTGTGACCTAGTGCACCAACTGAATATTGAGGTTGCCATATAGTATTTGTCATGTTAAGCAAGGTCTAGATTACCTTTAATAATGATTTTTTTTTCATATTCTATTACAAGTGGACCTTCATATACAGCGCAGTGGTTCACATACACCTCCACATCGGGATCGAGTCCCGGCCGCAGCAGCTGCATTTTTAATGGAGGCAAGCTTGGGGTCCGTGCACTTAAATTTAGAGAAGCATTGAAGAAGTCCAGATAGTTTAAATTTTCTGAGCTCTCCATCACAGCGTCCCTCATTATCATATTGTGATTCTGGGGCGTTAAAACGTGACAATAATAATAAGTACACTTCCACATACATTGAAGTATTGATTGGTACAAAGGTGACAGCAATCTGATATGCGCATTTTAAATGCCTTCGAAACATAACTGACACTGAAATGTCACATTTGGTGAAAGAAGTCATTCTTATGCATTTATAATAACCCTCAAAGGATTAGAAATGCATCAGCATGACTTGCTTTGTATACTCTAGTAACAGGCAGATGATTTACAGTCCACTTGGAAAAAACATGTATAGTAGAATAATCAGTAATGTGAGCTGGCAATTTTGCTATAAAACTGAACAAAATGCGTCTCTCATAATCATATAGTGGTTTTGGGACGTTAAACCCCACATATCAATCAAAACTGAACAAAGTTAGCCTGATAGTCAGTATTTCTCTTAAAGTATAACACATCTGGCCATTTAACTGTCACCATAAGGCACCATGCTGCTAATGAGAATGCCACAATCGCTATCAGGGGAACCATGGTCAATGTTAATGAGTTCAAATTATGTGGCAAAGACCAACTTGAGGAGCTAAATAACCTAAGTTTGGCACACAGTGCTGTACGAGTACCAGCCAGGACCTTCGGTCGTGGTTAAGTCAACTAAAAAAACATTAAAACAACCAAGGTCAAATAATTACAAGTCAACTGTATTACACCAGAAACAACACAACATATGTGCGATGCACTGATCAAGCAGATCAGAGTATCTACAGCAGGCAAGCTCAAAGAGCAGGAAACAACATAGTAGATTCATATTTGTGACAGCCCAGAATTTGTATGTTGTTACGTAAAAATGACACGAGGCGTGTCTATTTAGAATCTATATTGACACTGATGCGTATAGCATCGACTAAGATGGAGGACAGCACGCACAACTGACAGACTATCCCACTTTTTCGTTGGTGTCTTCTGATCAGCGGCTGATATGTCAGCTACTTAGCATTACCCCCCCCACCCCCCCCCAGCGGTAAAAGCGGCATCTCGGTGCACATTAATTACAGTCTTCAGTAGGCAGGTGGTAAGGCTTTAGCCTGCTGACATGCACAATATCATTGGGTGTGGTTGCAGGCAGGCTTGTGGTCTTAGATGCAGGAATGATCTCATAGGTGAAGTCGGTTACCTGGCGGATGATACGGTAAGGACTTATGTAGCGAGACAACAACTTCTCTGATAAGCCAACCCGATGAACTGGCCATGACAGAAGAACAAGAGAACCGAGGGAGAAGCGAACGTCTACATGCCGGCTGTAGTAGATGGCTTTCAGGGTGGCTAGCGAAGCCGAAAGTCTAGAGCGGGCGATCTGACGTGCGTGGTCGGCACGGGCAATAGCGTCTCGTGCATATTCGGATGACGCCGTTGTAGTGGTCGGAAATAGGGTGTCGAGTGGTAACGTTGGATCACGGCCATACAGCAAATAAAAGGGTGAATAACTAGAGGTGTCGTGGCGCGAGGAATTGTAAGCGAAGGTCCAGGAGGTAGCTAGGTCCCAGTCATGATGGTCGAAGAACACATACATCGCGAGCATATCCGTAAGCGTGCGATTTAAGCTTTCAAGGTGGGTTACACACGTAGGCGAGAAGATGACCACGTAGTCCAGGCAACACAAATATGTCAACCATTTAAATCCTTGAAGGAACGTGTCCATCATTCTCTCAAAGGTCGCTGGAGCGTTGCAGAGACCAAAGGGCATGACCTTGAATCGGTGAAGACCATCAGGGGTAACAGAGATGGTCTTCTCTCGATCCATGTCATCTACAGCAATTTGCCAGTCGCCAGATCGGACGTCAAAAGATGAAAAAAAGGTGGCACAATGGAGGCGATCCAGGGCATCGTCAATGCGTGGTAGAGGGTACACGTCTTTTTTTATAATTTTGTTGAGGAGTCGATAATCAATGCAAAAATGCCATGAGCCGTCTTTCTTCTTTACTAATACCACGAGAGATGCCCAAGGGCTAGATGATGGTTGGATTATGTTTTTCCTAAGCATTTTGGCCACTTCTTTTTTAATGACTTCTCGCTCGGACGCTGACACGCGGTACGGCCGACGGTGAATAGGCGCATAGTCACCAGTGTTGATTCGGTAAGTGACAATCTTAGTCTGGCTCAAGGGATGATCGTGGATGTCAAAAATCTCACTGTATGAGGTCAAAACCTGGCAGAGAGCATCGGGCTGGTGAGGCGAAAGGACCAGTCAAATCATGTTTCAAAAAATAGCATCGTCTGAGCTGGGTGACCGTAAGACTGCGCTTCTATCAGGAGCAGATACAGCGACAACGCTGACATCGTCGTATGTCATAGTAGTTAGCTGGGCAACACTTGAGGGGTGAAGCCAAAGTTAAGGAGCGGAAGGAACACACAGTTATTCGCTACGGTCGCGATGGTATGCAGCACAGTAACACTGCGCGTCAGCCGAACGTCAGTAACTGGTGTAACGATGTAATCACCATTAAGAACATAAAGGGCTGATAACAAAGACATGTACGTGATGGCTTGAGGTGGCAGGCGAACGAAAGTGCTTGGGCTCAAGCGACTGGTAGGCTTTGCAGAGTAGTCAGAAAAGATAGGAAGGTCGAGGCTGAGGGTACCAGAAGAACAGTCTATTAAGGCTGAGTGTGCGGGAAAAAAATCAAGGCCTATTATGAGGTCGTGAGGGCAACAAGCTAGCACGGCAAAAAGGACCACGGCGTGATGACATGCAATGCTCACACGAGCAGGGCACATTCCGATTGCTGGTATAGTATCGGCATCGGCAACACGCATTGCCTGCGTCGCAGACAGCGTCATAATCTTTTGCAAGCGGCGGCGTAGAGAAGCGCTCGTAATAGACAGGTGCGCACCTGTGTCAATGAGGGCGGTCACAGGAACATGGTCGACTTGTACTTCAAGCAGGCTGTGGTGCGTGGAAAGCGTCAGTAGAGGATTTTCGGCCGTCATTGGTATTGCAGCTTTACCTCTAGAAGCTGCAATATCTAGTTTTGCTGCTGCGATCGTCCAGGGAAGCTCGGTGAGGAAAAGCGCCGAGGTGGTGGAGAGTGGGATTGGCGGCGTAGCGGCGACCGGGCAAAGGGGCGTCAGTGGGAGGCTTGTAAGATGACAACGAATAGAAATTGGAAAGTGCGGCGGCTGAACGTCGAAGGGTCATAGGGTGCATGTGCACAGGGGTAGAAAAGGCCTGACGTGGTTGGTTTGACCAGCGGCAGCGGCAATAGTGAGAAACGTGCCCAGGCTGGTGGCAGGAAAAACAAATAGGCCAGCCGTCGGGTGTTCGCCATTCCGAAGGGTTGCGGAAGGGCATAGTAGAAGGTAAATGGCGAGCGTGTCCTGGGGAGTAAGGCAGGACTTCAGGGTGAGTCAAGGGACAGGTTGATGGAAGGCCGAGGTTCGCAAGCTCCTGCCTCACCACAGCTTGTATGAACGCCACTGACAGCTGTTGTTGGTCAGAGGCGAGCGCAGGCGGCTTTGATTTCCCAACGAACAATGCACGTGACGTCATACATGGGGGACCGGCGGGTGGCTTCACATGATGAGGTTGCGGCCGTGTTAGGCAGCCTGATGAATCGCTGAATAATACGGCGGCTCTTGGCTTCTTCAAACAGCCGGCACTCTTTATTCATGGCGTCGACGGTGGCAATGTTGCTGTACACTAGAAGATTGAAGGCGTCGTCTGCTATGCCTTTCAGCACATGGGCCACTTTCTCAGACTCACTCATGTGATAGTAAATCTGGAGGCATAGGGCGATGATGTCACTGAATGTACGCGACGTACAACTTCGTTGATGTCTGTGCACGATCCACCAGTTGATTCGGCGCAGCGATCTGCCGTCCAACGGTGTCGCCAAAAAGGTTGTGGATCTTCTCTTTAAACGAGTCCCAGCTTGTAATCTCCGATTCGTGCATCTTGAACCACACCCGTGGAGGGCCATCGAAGTAGAAAAGCACATTGGCCAGCATAACAGTTGGGTTCCACCTATAGCTTGCGCTGACCCATTCATAACGGTTGATCCATTTGTCGACGTCAGCGTCATCCTGACCAGAAAATACACCAGGATCACTACCAGGAGGTAGAACGACGTTCATAGAAGTCACGGAAGGGGCAGGTGATGAAGACGGGTGTTCAACCTGTGACATGGTTGGACCTATAATAATGCAGCCGTTGCGGAGCTTCGTGATAAAAACAGGGAAGCACTCAGCACCTCCACCACAAAGATGTTACGTAAAAAGGACACGAGGCGTGTCTATCTGGAATCTATATTGACACTGATGCGTATAGAATCTATATTGAAACTGATGCGACTAAGATGGAGGACAGCACGCACAACCGACAGACCACCCCACTTCTTGGTTGTTGTCTTCCGATTGCTGATATGTCAGCTATGTAGCAATATTGTAAGATGGCAACAAACTACTGCAATGAGAATAAGGTTTCCGACGGCTGTGTTACAGATACAGTCTATAGCAGATGGGAAGTATTACTTTTATCTGCCTGCAGAAGAATTAATAAAAATTACACATCATGCAAAGGTTGTGCGATCAGTCACCACCAGTACCAAGTTGTATTTCTATACACCACCCTTTTCCTTTAGCTCATAATTAGAACAATTCAATCAAACCTACAATGAACACCCCCTATTTTCTCTATCTCATTGCCTGTCGCCTTCAGAGAGCTGTGCCTAAAGGAAAAAAAAAAAATGCCCCACTATCCATTATCTTTCTTTCATACAATGCAATGAGGTGACAACCACCATTCCCATTTTATTTCATTTTTCACAATGACTTACCTCATTGGGAAGAGGATGACATAGCGCAGCAGACAGCCAATGCACCAGATGACTGTTAACCGAAAACTGAAGCAAAAAATAAAAAACTGCTATACACCATTTTTACGAGTGCTATCACCTTTAAAAAGCCGTGTGTGCAAAATCAAAGCAAATTAATGTAGATATTTGTGCTATACTCCTGTTCTATACATAAGGTGCAACAACACTATGAAAGCCAGCGAGACTTTTTGCACTAGGCGCATTCGCACCAAGAAATAGTTCAATGACTTTAATACCCATAATGCGATTTTTTTCTCCTTCTCATTTGTAGACTAAGTAATAAATGGTGATGCTTTGCGTCTTTGAAATAAATGAAACTCCATTATTTATACATCTGTAAATAAGTTGTTCTGGAGTGCTTTAGCGTCTCTATTATCGTATTGTGGCCTCTGAAATCAATTTTGGTAGCATGCTGTTGGAGCCAATTTCCAAGGCCAAACTTACAATGACCAAACTTAAGTGTGAGGCACACAGACTTGCCCACTTTGACTTTTTACATAGCTTCTACAGCGTAGAACCAGATGTATGAAATGCAGTAATATAAGGATGTGCAAACATCAAATTTAGAACTTTGAAGCAAATTTGAATAATGAAAAGCAAGGGGAAATCAAACAGAATATTTTCAAACATGAGTATAACCGGTGACTTTTGCAAAAAAAAAAAAAAACATTTTTCATTCATCAACTAACAATGAAAAATCAAGTTTGCTACACCGCAAATAATGTACAGGAAATTTATGCATAGTGCAACACTACTGATTTGCAGCACCACATATGCATTAATCTAATGTTGTCATGAAGGATGGACTACACTTTGGTATATTTAGGAAGCAGTGACACCATTGTGCATGTCACCATTTCTCCGGACCATAAAGATGCCACTCACTAGACTAGCGCTGATATCCTAATTTTGTTGTCATTGGTTGAATCTAAGCATGCTTGTGCAATCAGGAGGAGCGATGACAAAATGATTGGCACAATTTTCATTGCAGGTGTTTCCTCTTGGCATAACCTAGAATAATGCTGAGTTTTCTCATTTTTCGCTATTACTTCTTAATCTTTGCAATGGCTCCAATTTGTTTTGGCAGTTTTATACAATGTAATTTTGGCACTCTACTGCAACAATGCGCTCTAGCCACTAAAGTTCGGCTGCTGAACTGCAGGTCGCGGGATCAAATCCTGGCTGCGGCTCCTGCATTTTGGAAGGAGGCAGAAATGCTGTAGGTCTGTGTGCTTAGATTCGGGTACACATTAAAAAACCATAGGTGGCCGAAATTTCCGGACCTTTCCACTACGGCGTCTCTCATAATCATATGATGGGTCTGGGGTGCTAACTTCACATATCAATCAAATCTTACATAATGCCATGCGTTGGCCACTACATTTTAATACTGGCACAACATTTGCCAAAAATGTTAATAGAGGGGGCAGCAGGTGGGGGGGGGGCAACTTGACAAATGAAACTTATCGGTCTGTTTGTGCATCAAGTTTTATCAAATTTAGCACAGCTATGTAAATTTTTGTGCCGATTTTAATACTGCTGAAGAAGTTTTGTAGTGTTTGGATATTTTGAATACTAGAAGTGCCCTGTATATTGAATCGAATGCCAAACAATTTGAATCAAATATTAGAAGGTTCAGGCACTCATACAACCCTAATTTTTACAACTACTCCAATAATTTACCTACAAGTGTCGTCATCAGCACATTTAACATGAATGGTTCGACGAGTGGGCTCTTCTTGCTTCGACTGACGTCAGTCCATACCTCGATGTATTTATCATCGTTTGTCATCGAGTTTGTCATCGTTCTGTCTGTGAGATGGGGTCCTGTATAAGAAAAACTCCAACAGCAATGAGAGAACCTATCCTCTAGTCGTGAGAACTGACATGCTAGACGACATTCTTCTTGCCTGCCACGATGAGCCCCCATCTGGTCCCTTAGATTCCTCTCGAACTCTCCCTCGAGTTCGACAAGCGTACTACTGGCCTAAGCTTTCCGCATCCGTTAAGCAATACGAAAAAAGCTGCAGGGAATGTCAACGCCGCAAACCCCCGCTACTGAAGCCCACGGGGCTTCTTCAAGCCAATCAAACCACCTAGGGCGCCATTCGATGAAATAGGAATGGATTTACCAGGGCCCTTTCCACTGTCATATGCCAGTAACAAGTGGATCGTAGTAGCCACAGACTATTTGATGAAGTATGCCAAAACAAAGGCAATACAACGTGCTATGGCTTCCGATGTTGCCCATTCTTATGGACCAGATCGTCCTTCGACATGGCGCCCCAATGTGCATAATCACAGACAGAGGAGCAGCATTCACGACCTAGCTCATTCACGGTGTATTCAAGCTCAGCTACACGAATAATCGCAAGACTGCAGCATATCATTTGCAGAGCAACGGCTTAGACAGAGCGACTCAACAAAACCATTGCTAACATGCTATCCATGTACGTATATGTCCAGCACAAGCTCAGCTACACGAACCATCGCAAGACCACAGCATATCCTCCGCAGAGCAACAGCTTAGAGCGACTCAAAAAAACCATCGCTGACATGCTATTTATGTACGTAGATGTCCAGCACAGGCTCAGCTACACGAACCATCGCAAGACCATAGCATATCATCCGCAGAGCAACAGCTTAGACAGAGCGACTCAACAAAACCATCGCTGACATGCTATTTATGTACGTAGATGTTCAGCACAAGACCTGGGACCAGGTGCTATCGTACATCACATTCGCATACAATACTGCCATCCAGAAAACTACAAAATTCACGCCTTTTCGTCTTGTCTATGGATGTGAGGTCCAGACCATGCTGGATGCGATGCTTCCACACAATTGCAACGCTTTGATCACGCCTGACGCTTTGCAGCTTACCCAGTATGCCGAAGAAGCTCGCGAGTTAGCATGCCTACACAATACGCACCAGCAGAGTACAGACGCATGCCACTACAACGATCGACAAGTTGATCATCATCCAGGCGATCAAGTTTGAGTGTGCACTCCAGCCCGACGCCAGGGATTGTCAGAAAAACTGCTCAGTCACTACTATGGACCATACAAAGTGTTGCGACGCGTGAGCAATGTGAACAACGAGGTAGTCCCTGACGGGGCCTTCCCACCACGGTGTCAAAGGCACCCCTCGGAGATTGTGCACGTAGTGCGACTGAAGCTATAATTCTCGAGGTAGTCCGACAGTGTATGAGCCTTATTGTTTTGTTTTTGTGTGTGTGCGTATTGTCTGCTGGTTTGCTCCGACTTTGCCTTTGTACTTTCAAAGATGATTGATTGATATGTGGGGTTTAACGTCCCAAAACCGCCATATGATTATGAGAGACGCCGTAGCGGAGGGCTCCGGAAATTTCGACCACCTGGGGTTCTTTAACGTGCACCCAAATCTGAGCACAAGGGCCTACAACATTTCCGCCTCCATCAGAAATGCAGCCGCCGCAGCCGGGATTCGAACCCGCGACCTGCGGGTCAGCAGCCGAGTACCTTAGCCACTAGACCACCACGGCGGGGCTTGTACTTTCAAAGTGTCGAAGCGATGCCCATCTTTTTTTTTTTTTTTCCAGAGGGGGAATAATGCCACTTGCCCCCTAGGTACGGCGAGCTCAAGCCATGGCTGCCCGCTAGAATGGAAGAAGACGTTCTGAGGCAGCGTGCACTCTGGCTAGTTGTTATCGAGTCAGCCATCTTGCCAGTTTTCTGTGCGTCTCCCCACCGGCTCAGTTCTTCCCGAGTAAAAGACCTTTCGTAGCACGTGACTATATACACATATTCATGGGAATCAATCTTGCAGGCTATCTCGGCCGCAAAATTTTGTGTCAGTACCCCTTTAAGCATGATTGCAGACATAGTTTTCTTTTCAAAAATTTGCAAAACATTAACAAAGCATTGTTCCTGAACATCAACAAAATGTCAACCAAATATTAATCAAAAATAACACAAAGCTAACCTGACAAATGTGTAGTTTCTGTTGGTACGGGTCAGCAAATTCCAAGAGGGTAGCTCTTCAGTAGCAAACCGCTTGGTCACCACATCATCAATGATGGCCTGTCAACAAGTACAGACATTTTTAGAATATACGACGGTTGCTACCAGAAACAAACTCGTACCTCAACACCTTTCTTGATGAAGTATGTGATGTCACCGAGATGATATTCCTTGAGTGGGATGTCAATAATTGGCTGCTCAGCTCCAACAATGACATCATCTCTCGTGATCACTGTGTGCAATATAAAAAGGTCATGTTTCATAAAACCATAGCAGCAATGCTCTTACCTGAAGAAGTGGTGTTCATTAGATCAGAATCCAAACCTTCCAGGTCGTCTGCACTTTCATCTTGTCTGAGGCGCTGCCGATTGGCTCGTTCAATTTTTATTCGGCCATACTGCAAGGTTAGCACAAGTTCATTAGTGAAATGAAGAAAATTCGTTGTTTCATTTTTTGTAAAGAAGAAAGCCGGGGCTAAAGGCGAAAATGTTTAAAGAAGGTCTTGAGCCTAAAATCGTGGCAGGAAACAGACAAAATCAGTATGTACAGGTGCACTTGTAGGTGCCACAAGTAAAAACGGTGCCATGCAAAACACAAGTCACAATCATTTAAATATTATATAATGTCTTTTTTGAACATTTTCAAAAGCATATCCAAGTTAACATTGATTGACAGTTTACCGAGAGTTTCATTCACTTGAAACTTTTATTTTTGTTTGGTCGAGCTAGCACAGGTCTTAGGAACTAGGTGGATTGGTCTGCTCACAAAAATAACATGCGCCATTAGAAACAGAAATTTTCAGGCTTCCCAGTGCAACATCTCCTCCTTCTGAACATGAGGCTGCATAATTAGTTACCAGAAGTGCTTTTTTTGCTTTTTCTTTGTCTAATTACAGTCACTGCCATGGTGGCCCAGATAATTGAATCCAGCTGTTTCTCATTTATGAGCTAATCAGTACTTTTGGCATCGAACTGTGAAGGGCATTATATGCACGTATCAATGACTTTTTTCCCCCCCTAAACGAACTTCCTGCAATGACATAGCATTAAGATAAGAAAACGTTTTTTTGGTGGTTGGTTTACTTGCATATTCATACGCAATTCTTTCACGAGAGAGTTGCTAAAAACAAACAATAAATACCTAAAAACAAACAATAAAAAAAGAAAAAGCACGGCCCTGAGTTGCTTTCGTCCTAATGTCTGAGGCCACATAATATGCCAGAAACACATTTACTGACTTACTATGGATATACACCAAATATCGGCAATAGTTTATTTCCTATGCACACATAGTCTTCATGCTATGCAATGCCCATTCAAGAAGCAAGTATTGGGGAGGGCTACTTGGTAAGACATTATTTTGGGAACTCAAACTGTGCTGGGGATGAGACATCAGAGTAGTTTGAGTTCTCAAAAATATGCCAGGTTTTCTGTTTTAATAAACTAGCCCCACAACAACATTTTTAGATTAGGTTGCACTGAGAGGAATGTCTGACATTGCACTAATGATCCTTGATGTGTTTTTCCCCACAGCAGCTCAAGAAGTTCAACAGCTAACAAAATGTCCACTTGAATTTCCACTGACTGACCAACACAGGAACTACCTGAACTGACAGCAGCAGTTGAACGTTCTATATAATACTGTAATCACCCAAGCTAATAGATATAATGAATTTGGGGCAATATTTTTTAATGCCTCCCCGCTTTTTTTTTTGAAATTTATTCTGGCTGCAGGTGGGTTTCAGAAACATTCAAACTGCTTTCGAAATAACAATACCAGCTGTCACTAGAGGATTTCTAAAAAGCTCGTATGTTCCTGCTGTGAAAGAGCAATTGGATAACTCTGGTATGCTCGATGCACATTGCTTACATTCACATTTGTTAAGCAGAAAACACCTGAAACATGCATTCAGCAAAGTTTTCATATATGCAAATGTCACCCGCGCATCACAACTTTCGGCAACTACCCCTTCGCCCTGTCTGAGTAGCCAACCAGAACAGCCTCTGGTTCACTTTTTTGCTTTGTGTGCATTATATACATCTCTCTACAACTACTTTAGGATTACAGGAACTCGTCAACAAGCAACAAACGCAAGGGTATGGTCGCATATTCACGGCCCGCTGCGAAGTATTTTAGCTCAGTAAAGTTGTCTAATATGTCTAAGAGGCTCGTAGGGTACCAGTATCTTAAATAGGAATGAAAATTCACCGCGTATAACTAACCGCTGACGCTTAAGATCGCCGCCGCAATCATAGGGCAGACGGACAACGAATTGATAAGCAGAGGTACGGAGCATGATGCGACCTATCGCTAAGTGTTGGCCACTCACTGTAACTTCGCACCATGCTTCGCATCGACTCTCTTTAGCGAACGCAAACACGGCCGGCGACTGCTCCTTACGAGACGGACTGCGGATCAATTCACGGTCGAGACCCGCGCGTTCAAAAACACTCCGGCGGAAAAGAAACAAATAAAAGAAAACATCCAACATTCCTCGATATCGTTCCTGCTGGAATTGACGTCTTTTAGTTGGCCGTTCACGTTGGCCACAGATGTCTGAAGATGAAGCCACTAGTGTATAAGTAGGTGTAGAAGTGCCAGGACCGCAACTTCTCATCGAAGCAACAGTTCTCACGCTGCGCAATTCCATCGGGCAGTGCCAAACGCGTGCGCGTACACGAAACTTCTTAAATACGGTGCAAGACGCACAAACAAAGAGGGAAGTACCGTTATAACGTGTCTCGCTCGGGATCTCTTAAGAGTTCACACGCACCTATGATGACCGAGACAGTTAGCTGGTTGCGATAAGCGCAGCACATGTTACCGCCCGGTCAATAGCGTCCGGGCCAACCGGCTAGCAGCCCAAAGAATGCTACCGGAAAACGACCAGGGCTTTAAAACAGACTGGATATGCGGCAAGGTGATGAAACAAATGCGCTAACGAAGCAAACTTACCTCAAAGAGTTTCAGGAGACACCTTATGTACTGCTTTCTTATCCCAAGGCTGGTGTTGGTAACCGACAAAAAAAATAACAGGAGCAACACAGAGGAGCCACAGGTGATGAACAAGTGAAAAGGGTGTGACAAATACCATAATACCGTCGAGATCGCGCGGGACGCAAAGACAGTCGCCATTCACTTAGCCGATCTGTTGCCTACTCTTGCCTATCCCCCCCGCGGCTCCCTCGGACGTGCGTGCTGTCGATGCGATGCACCGCGGCATGACCTACTACACTCCTGACCTGTTCAGATAGCGGGGTTCCTATGGGAGCGCGTGTCCCCGCTCTCGTTCAATCGCTCGCCGTAGGTGGCGCTACCTATAACCTGTTCGTCTGCTTCTTTACGGTTGTTTTGTAGGCGCTGGTATAAGAATGCCTGCTTTCTGTGGTGAACTGTCGGCATATATGTGACTATTTCTTCCCATACATTGCTGGTCAAGTAAGCTGTTCAGTGCGCTTAAGAATTTATAGCACACTGGTTGACAAACGTGGAAACCCGTGGATTTACATGATTTTGGACAGCCTATGCGTTGTCGCGTGCATTTTATTGCAAAAAAAATTCTGAATGTCTTTTAGTATTATTATTTCTGGATATTTCTAAATTGTGGATCATAAATTCGCACTACGAGTGCTTTGTTGGTTAAAATTTGACTACAAAGAGTGAAGGTGACGTCAGCGAACAGGTGCTGCCTAGCGCCACGCCGCTCGTAGGTGACGGCCCTAGCGGCAGAAGGTATGAACTAGAACGTGGGCGCTGGAAGAGGTGCTCTCTGGGCAGGTCAGGAGTGTAGTAGGTCATGCACCGCGGACTCTTCGATCCCAAGACTAAAGACAAAATTAGCCACCCACAAAAAATATGAAAACGTTTAAGTTTACCAAACAAATAATGTTTATTTATATTTTTTTCAGTTATATAGGCAGCAATAAATTCATTAGGATCAGTCTATTATTATTATTATTATTATTATTTGATTCAATTGTGGACGTCTCGTGGCGCCAATGCAAGCAAACCACCTCGAGAGCCAGTTCTTTGCGGTCTTGGCAGGGTTCTTTCCATCGGCCGTGCTCGAAGTGGTGCTCAAGCTTCGTTGAGGAACTCTCCTGCGAATTAAGCTATCTTCTTCGAGTGAGGAAAACATGGTTGAGCTAGCCCCTCCAGTTTCCGTGTCACCTTTCATCAGGGTAATTACTTGTTTTACTCTTAAACTATTCGTGTTTGATTCGTTAACATGTGCGTTCAGGACATCAGAGGTCAAACGATCGACACCTTTCTACAGATTGAGTGACCTCTGATACTGCTCGCACATGAAACGAATGTGTATATAAAACGGTCCTGACGCCTTCTCTGCTTGATGCAACGTTATTTTCGTGTATTACGCAGCATTTGAGCGTTGCTTTCCGATGCCGTCGGCGTGAGTCCGTGAGCCGCGTTCACTTGTGTATTCTAGGTTTATGTGCTTGTCTTCACGCTTTCCAAAACTTGTGTACGTTGATTCGCTGTCGAATTTGTTTCCCATTGTTTACACTATGCGTGAAAAATTATGGTCGTTCGTGTGAATCCGTATGCACGTTCACTAAGCATGAGAAATATTTAGCTCTCTTTTTACTCCTATGCAGGCCTGCCGGTGGGGTTTTCTCGCCGCTGGAATTTTTTACGGAGCCTTCAACTACAGTGAGTTCACCTCCCAGTGTAATATTCAAAGTAGTTCACTCTGTAGAATAGTTCGTACTGCAACCACCGATGGGACGATCGTAAAATAAATTGACATTTCCTGCCGTTCTGCAGCAGCAGTGTTGCTCCCAGTGCCACATTTATTGTGTAACTGTTATGCATTACCCGTACTGCTTTTACTTTCGGCAGCATCGTGTACTTATTCATGAGAGACGTGACATTTTCATAAGATCTGCATTCAGCGGCTGCTTGAGTTGTATTGAGTGGGAAGGTGAAATATTGTGCTGACTGTCTGATATTTCGCTGTAGGCATTGCAAAATATTTCAGATGGATGCCAATTTTCAAGTTGAAAGTTGTATTCCTCTGGCAGCGAAAGTTTCGATTTTTTTATTGCCCCATGTTATTGTTACATGTTACATGTGGAGAAACTACTTTTTCAATGTCACATTAATGTTATCAAAACATCTCATGCAGGTTATTTTTTTATTCATGCGCAGAGAAGTTGCTGCTGTGTTGTTATCGCGTAGACTCAACACGTACCATGTTTCTCATCCAAGCTGCCATTGTGGAGTCCCAGTTCCTTTCAGAAGCTCTGTCCATGACGTCTCGTGCAAGCCAAACGTGAAATGAGTAGATGGCACTGCAGTGCAGGAGTGAACGAAAGGAATTGGCGTGCTCTGTGCAGCACCCGACCCATGAGCGGAGCAGTGTCAAGTTAGCAGTGCTTCACAATGTTGCATATAAATTGCTGGGCTGTAAGCTGACAACTTTAGGGGGGTATGCACTAGCCTTGATCCGCAAGGGGGCAGCACCATCGCTGTGCCATTTTGAAGGTCCGTTCATACGTGCGTCCAGCTGTCTGTGCTTCGGTGTGCAGGAGGTGTTCCAGAGGTCACTAGATATTCAAATTGCCGTACGGATCTCGAACACAGCACGTGCAGTGAGTTTATTGTGTGTGTGGCAAGCGCAAGGACCACCAAAATGGAGACCCCGACACTAGCAATTTTCGCAGATGACGTCAAGTGTATACCCCTTATGAGAACGGTGCACCTTGAACAAAGTTCTGCGATTTCGTGCCAAGACCATGCTTCAGAAACTAGCGGTGTCTAACCCGTGTAAAGCAAGTGATCCCACAGGTGCATTTATGAAGCACATGCTTTAGTGAGTTTGCTATGAATTTACTCGCCACACAAGCTGATATTTTTACAGTGCTGAAAAACTTGAGTGGCAGGCAGTAGCGTGATCTCGAGACTGCAGTCAACAATTCGTTGGCAGAAATCAATCGACAGATCCAGCAATTCTCTCTCGTATGCTGCTTCCGTTTTTCAGCGGTAGCGTAGTTCATCTAGCAGAGCAGTTGGTAAATAGTAACAGTAAGAAGGAAGCCCCCTCATGCCAGGCAGAATGTGTCACGGACCGCAAGAGTGAAAAAAGTTATGCCTCTTGTACTGCTGTTTCTTTCAACAGCGCTGTCCATGTAAGTGAAGCCACGTCACGCCGTTCCATTACGCTACGAGACAGCCGAGATATTACATGCACAGGTGGCATGTCATAATTTTACTCAGGGACTCGTTCGGCCCAGCGGCGTCTACAAAAACAGCTGAACTACTGTACAAGCTTCAACGAACTGTCATGCATTACTAAATAAATTTGAACTAAGAGACATTGATGCCAAAGAAAGCATACAGAATGTTATTAGAAGTACTTTTAATGTATATGTGAACAAAGAAAGGTGGTGAAAAGATAACTTAACTCTAACAGGGACCAAACCTGTGAGTTTTGAATAACATTCCACCAGCTTCTCTACCACTGCGCTATGGCTCATTACTAAATGCAACATGTGCAACCATACGTTTTACATGCATGCATTTGAAGGGGTTGTCTAACTCATGTCAGGCACAAATATCATCATTCACTCAGCAATTAGCAGGGAAAATGACAAGAAAGAATGTATACAAACATCGATGGTGACTGCCTATGCTTCAAGATGTTAAGGTCTGAAGGGAAGGTCGCTGGAGGATACGAAAAACAAACAGGTTTATGGCACTATTTACACATATTTACAGCAAAGAAATAATAGTGCTTTCACAAACCACGAGCGTGGTGGTTGAACCGTTACATGGTTCAGAGCGACGTCCAGCACACTGCGGCGTCGTTTTAAGCCCTGTTGGGCTCCTCCTCTCCGAGTGGAACACCAATCACTCATGCACAACAGGTGAGGGGGACAAGCATGCATGGTCCACATGAACGTCCAATATTGAGTTGTGAACACTGCACTGCAAGGTGGCGCCAGCAGGGCTCTTCCTCGTGTGTGTGCCGCTAGTCGAGAGTTCCCACGATCCTGACGGCGTACATCAAAGGGTCCACCAATTTGTTCGCTTAATTAGTGGGGCGATTTGCGGTGGCCGCCATGGTCTCTTCCAGGAAGATGCTTTCTTTGTTGTCCTCTCTGGAACTGTTTACGATGTCGTGGCGACACGACGTCTCATCCTCCGGCTAGCAGGGACAATGCCTGGCGGGCATAGGCAGCCGGCCGGTCGGCTACTTGATTGGGGATTAAAAGGAACGCCGCTCTTCTGTCAGCTCTGGCGCCGGTCGCAAAAGCTTCCCCGTCGCCAGATGAATCACCGAGAGCATCAGTCACCGCTTCTGCTCGAAGAGACGACAAAAGGGTCCGCAGTTGAAAGTCAGGAACTCGCCTTCGCTTGTCACATGGTCTGGGTAACTACTCAAATCTTCGACAGCGTCTGGCAGACTGGGTGCCGAAGGGATTGAGAGCCTCTCCAGTGAAAGGGGACCGGCTTACGCACCATGGCGTCTGCCCAGATGAATTTCCAGGCCAAACTTTACAAAGCTTTACACTTGCCGGCTGCACGAACCGTCCTCTCAAAACACTATGTCGTGTGTCCAAGCTTTCTTTCACATTGGAAACTTGATTTAGTTCATAAATTTAAATCCTTTTTTTTTTTTCATTTGGGGCTCCGAAAGAATTATGTACTGTTGAACTTTCTGAAAGCCTACTTTTTTTTTTATCAAACCTGCCACCTCAGTGCTCAAGCACTTGACTATATAACGCGGGCACAGCTGAAGGAGAGACAATTGGTAGCATGCCAGTTAAAACTGAAATGGCCACAAGTCACCACTCGTGGTGCTACTACTCATTGAAGCAGCGGACGGCTGCTCCACCTGTAGGTGCTGCACATTTCTCATGGCACATGCTCAATCATTACTTGCTTACATCTAAATTGATACTTTCCTACATATTGTTGCAAAGTTTTCATTTGGGGGAATGGTTCACTTTGAGTGGCATAACAGCATGCGCATGGGCGAAGGAGTGAAAAAGGGCATTTGCTCTCCCCCCAATCAAGCCATGCCACCATTTGCCCGACACACAAGCTACACCGCCCCTGCCCTCCTACCTCTTGCCCCGCCGCGGTGGTCTAGTGGCTAAGGTACTCGGCTGCTGACCCGCAGGGCGCGGGTTCGAATCCCGGCTGCGGTGGCTGCATTTCCGATGGAGGCGGAAATGTTGTAGGCCCGTGTGCTCAGATTTGGGTGCACGTTAAAGAACCCCATGTGGTCTAAATTTCCGGAGCCCTCCACTACGGCGTCTCTCATAATCATATAGTGGTTTTGGGACGTTAAACCCCACATATCAATCATCATGCCCTCCTTCCTCACAACCCCGAGGCAAAATCCTGCAAAAGGCTATGCATGACAGTATTATTTATTATTGTGAAAACTGCTGTCAAAATAATTTGCAATGCCATTATTGCAGCAACACATCGAGTCGCTAGTCATAAAATGACAAGCCTGCGCATGAGATGGGCAAGGAGGGTGGTTTGGAGTTAGCAGTAAGCATTTTCAGATCATGTACTTGTTGGTAAATACTTGTCCGAATAGAAAGCTAAATATTTATTGTTTGGTAGTAGGGTGCTGCATGCAGATTTAAGTAAAAGGCACTGAGGGAAGTGGAACTTCAAAGCTCTGTGTAGTAGCAACTCAGAGTGGAGAAAATGTGTTTTGCATGCTAGTTATTTATCGTTATTTATCGTTTTCTTTGTCATGTCTCAAGAAAAAAAAATCTTGAAGGGGGCCTTTTGGGTTGTTTAAGTCATGCTGACACATAGATGGCTTTGCTCTATGATGTGCCTACTACAAGTGATGGCAGAACACTTCCTTGCATATGATCTGCCAAGCAAAAACCAGTAGATGCACACATGCCTTGGATAAGGGTATCAGTTTGATATGCTGCTTTCATTAGTGGTGGTTGCGTTTTGCAAAGCTGTATAAATCATTGCATCTAGTTAACAACGTTCAGTTATTAGCACTGTTTTTGTATCCTTCCTGTGGTTCTTTTTTATGTTGTGCTGGTAGTCCCAGTTATTGCACATCAACTGAACCAACAAAGTAGCCATTTTAAGGAACCATTGCTGCTTGTATGTTTTCTCTAGAAACATTCACTTGCTTGTAGCACTTGAATTCGTGTGGGGAAAAGCAGAATAACAGAGTTTAATTTTTGTACTTTTCTGTCCCCTGTTTGTTCACTGTCCAGAGTAGACCACACTGTACATGACATTTGTGAGATGAAATATTGTCGCCCTTTGAGCCAATGAGTGCTATCTTCTTAGTCCTCATAGCATTATTCTTTTACCTTTCTTGGTACTATTATTGTGTGCCACCATTGGAGTCATTTGAAAAACACCCCTTTTTTATTTACCTTTTGTGTCACATCCTGCATTTCATAAAAATCTCTGCTTTCATCGAATCAAGTCTACTATGCGTCTGTTTCACTCCGTGACTTACGAGTACAACGGTGTTTTGTTATTTCCATATGCAGGGCGGCTCTCTCGCAAGGAAGCAAGTATTCGTGAATATGAAGCCAAGCAGATGGAGATTCTCAAAAGCAAGAGGGAAGCAGAGAAACAAAAGAAGACAAGGGGTATTTAAGAATAACAACATCCTCATAGCACTTAATGCACCATATAAGCTGTGTTGTAGTATTCAAAATATGGCCAGGGCCGGTCTATTCCACTGCATGAATTCCATATTCACGGCTGCACATATCATTTTCTACGCATCTAAAGCTCCCAGCCAAGCAATCTTGATGATAATCTTATCAGATAGCGCACCAAGTGCTGCAAAAAAACATGGAAAATAATGTAGAAGAGAAGTTCCACTTTGCTGACCTTCTACACAGTTAAAAGGTGTCGGTTTGGGTTAGTTGGTGCTTATAATTGGTGGCTTTGTTTCTGCACCAAATCAAAGTGTACAAGGAAACAGAAAGGTGAGACGTGCAAGCGTGGGCTTGTGCTTGTGCTCTCCCTGTTTTCGTAGATTTGATTTCATCTTTCCTGTTTTGGAATCACTAGCCAGCTCCCACATTTCAGATGGCACCAGCCTATGGGCATTGACCATAGAGTGATCGTTTCAGACCCCACAATACTTGTGTGTATGCATGCATACCCTTCTATATGTGCCAAGGATAACCAGGGCACAGCGAAGTTGTCGTTTTTGGTGTGTCTGCCTCGTTTCGCCACACTGTTGTGGCTTTTAGGCGCCTTTGTCAGCAGTCCATCTAGAAAGGTTACCATAGGCAGGGACTTATTATTGCCATCCATGCTGAGGGGGAGAGAGAAAAGTAAACACTGCACTTGTGAAATTATATATATTATACCCTTTCTTTTAACATCTCATTCAGAAATTCACTTCTTGAGTGGTGCCACACTAACTCCAATCTGTGCGTCAGTATTGAGGAAGTTGTTTTGAAGGCTCCATGATGTTTTAGATTGCTGATGCAACAAAAAATCTATGGTTCTTGTATTCACTGCCTAAGCATGAATCATGGTGTCCAGGTGTGCATTTGAGCATTGTGTGTGGCGAATGGTACTTATATGACATGTATCGTCACATGTCACACTCAAACCTATGTGCATATTAAGAAGCTAAAGGAGCCTCCCACAAAACAGGTACCTGGCTTGGTATTTTGCTAGCTTTCTACATGCATACATTATCATGTAGGACAGCACTTCTATTTTGCATATTTTTCTCTGTTGAATTGGCCTTTGTTCACAAATTATGTTGTCTGAACACTGCCATGTGTGATTATCAGAGAGATGCTGCATGTGTGGTGTGAAATTTCACACTTGGGATAGTTGGGGAATCTTTCTGACTGCATAGAGTTGTGGTTACTCATACAGGCAAATGTAGAAGTTGCATTCTGTGCAACTTCTGCCCACGAAACAAACCACGTTTGGTTCCTTCCGCTTCAAGGACATTCACAATTTTTTATAGGATCTGTTGCACCTAGTGTACTGTCGTGGCCACTGTTAGAGAAAACCTGGCACGTGTGGCCGCTCTCTTCGAGCCATCAAGCGGGTGCTGCACGAAGTATTGCGGCGCGAGCGCAAACAGCACCAGAGGCGGAGTTAGCTGCGCGTTTTCTGCTATGGTGTCTCCCACTTCGCACGCACTATGTTTCGACGCTTGAGCCGAATTCGGAGGCCCCGTAGCAGATGATGTACAGCTAACTCCGCCTGTGGCCTTGATTGCTCTTGCGCCGCAATGGTTCGCACGGTGCCCGTTGTGGCACTCCACGAAGTGCAGTAAGCCGCTCCTTGTTCCCTCTAACAGTGGCTGCGACTGTACATCTCATGTGAGCGTCAGTTTGAGCCCATGAGAAAAATGGTTAACTGACAGTCTGCTCTGCCTTGTTGCTGTGGGAGGGTAATCACTGTTCTTTGGTATTGTTTTTCCAGAGGAAATGATCACTCTGGCGAAAGACGTTGGTGTTCCAGTCCCTCCCAACTTCTGAAAAGTGTGTGGCCTGTACTCTGAAGCTCCATAGTTGATGCACCGAACCATTAAAAACTGTTTTATTTAGACTATTGTGCTATCACTCTTCTTTTTTTTTTTTTAGAGTAGCATTGTTGCAACACACTTGCCTTCCTTAGTGTGTTCTCAGAGCACCTGCTTGTTTTTGCACTCCCTGCAGTAATTTAATCTATGATGTGTAGAAAAATTGCCTTTCATCACCGCATTTATAGGCATTGCAGTCCTGAAGATTGCACGCACACGACAACCATCAGCATAGTTGGTCAAGGTAGTGGCAAGTGGAATCCGAGCTTCTAGACTACCTTTGTTATGATGGAGGCAACATGGAGATAAGTCTTCATGTGCTGGCTAGGTGAAGAGTTGCCCAGCATTTTTTCGGCAGTGGAGATTTGGGGCTTTTTTATGGGGAGTGTTACTTATTTTTGACGGTCAAACGCGGACACCCGAGCGTCACCACTACTGATGATCTGCAATCTAGAATCTTTGTTATCTGGGGGGTTATGCCTGCGCTTTTTCTCTCTCGCCAGAAGAAAAAAAAAACAGGCTCACAGGTCGTCGTTCTGTCATGCTTGAAACTATACTTTAGCTGCAGAAGAGTGCAAGACTCGTTTCAGAAAGAGTTTCAGGGTATTTTGTGAAATTGCAAAAACAATTTGAGCATGAACTGTAGGTCAAGGGGAGTGTTACGATGTAGAAAGTGCTTGAATGCTCATGACTAATTTTGTTTATTCAAAAGACAAGCAGTTGCCCCGCCGCGGTGGTCTAGTGGCTAACGTACTCGGCTGCTGACCCGCAGGGCGCGGGTTCGAATCCCGGCTGCGGCGGCTGCATATCCGATGGAGGCGGAAATGTAGGCCCGTGTGCTCAGATTTGGGTGCACGTTAAAGAACCCCAGGTGGTCTAAATTTCCGGAGCCCTCCACTACGGCGTCTCTCATAATCATATAGTGGTTTTGGGACGTTAAACCCCACATATCAATCAAAGGACAAGCAGTTTTACAACTTCAATGCTACCTTTGATACCACTCGCAGCAACAGCTGCCGTGCTGCACTGCCACCACTGACAATTCTGTATAGGCACTAAAGTTTTACTTTTTGTAAGAAATGCACACTTTACGTTAATATATATTGCAGGTTGCGTGTCTGAGTAACTTGAGACCTATTATTAGCTTGACAAATTTAGCCAGTTATTGGGCGCGAGGACATACTGTGGCGCCTCCATGCGGAGGCTTCCCTGTGACGTACGTGGTTTTATTGCTCCACCGCCTTCTCGCGCGCAGCCCGCAGCCGCCTTCGCGTATTCTTTTTTTTTTTTATCATTATTCTCGGGCTTCACTCAACGAAATCGGTAAAATACTGCTGCAGCCTCTTCCCTGACTGTACAAAGTGGTAAATAACTGCCCCGGAAATGTGTTACGATTCTCACAATGCCTGACTGCCGGCGTCGTCTGCTATGACCACCTAAACGAAGAAACCACGGCGGCCGAGCGCGCCACCTTTGTGCAAGGTGACAACTCATTCCGTGTCAAACTGAAGCATCAAATGGATATTAATGGTGAATAAACTTATCTTTGCTGCAAGAAATGCGCGCAACCACGCTACTTCATTCATTGTAGGTTTGCATATAAAGACGGGCCGCGGTTCACATGACAAGCATGCGCAAATTACACTTACGTTTAGCACACACAACCATACGAAGCTCAGCGCAAGCGGATTCCCCGCTTTGTGGGAAGCAGCGCAGTATTTTTACAGGCGCATGCAGCCGCAACCTTTCTGTTATGATTGCGGGCAAGCGTGATAATCACGGACGCGCGTGCCTCATTCAGACTTGTAACTTTTCCTTGTGGCACGCTCCTAGCAATTATTGCGCAAAAATTCTACAGTGGTTACACGTTGCACATTCGATCGCCATCTAGTCGCACATGGGTGAACATTATGAATGATTGGTTCAGTTCCAGAGCTTCTATGAAGGGGTAAATCGTGATTTGAAAATTGCGATCAGCCAGCTGTGTCAATTGGCTAGCGCGATCGGCTGTTAACCGAAAGGTTGGAGGTTCGAGCCCACGGGAAACTCGTGCAATTGAAGCGCTAGTTTGTGCCGGGCTGGTGCAGTTGATTTTAAGTTAACGGTAAATAAACTTTATTTAAGCATGCTGCGAGGCCTTGCGTACCATGACATAAATGGGAAATTCATGTTTCAGTAAAATTGCCTGTTTCCAGGTTTCTTTTTCTTTTTTTGCAGTTTCAGTCATAAGCTGTACGGCAGCTCTTTGAAGACGAATCAGTTTTCGGCACTTTTTCGCCTGTGGATCAAAACAACATTAAGAAGAAGCGACAGTGGCTATGGGTCCATTCTACAAACGTAAGGAACCCTGTGAGCTGAAGTCGCGTACGGCAGGCCCATTGGCAGACAATTTTTTTGGAGGGGGCACTACTTTGATTATAACTGGGGGCCGGGCAGGCAGGTGTGGGCGACCGTTCTATTGTGCGCCATATACAATGGAAAAAAGTGGGGGGATGGGGGGTAGGGGCTTGGTGTGCCACCCCTTGGCTACACCACTGGTGGTTGGAAACCCGCGTGGTTGGGTACACACATGGGGATGGACGCACAGGGAGGAGAATGGTGGTGGTGCAGACTGTGATAAACGTAACCGTGGCGAGAAAAATAAGCTTTAGGAAAGAGTAGAGCGGCACATGCAAGGTGTACGAAAGAAGATTTCGTCGAATGCGCTAGACGAACATGCAGAAGAAACAGACCATGAAATAGACCGAAATAGGGTAAAAATAACGAAAACAAAAGGAAAGGAACTGTGCTTCCAGGCTATATCTTGACTGTCTGACAATTCAGAGTCCCATTTTAGAATATACATAATCGAACTGTTTGGACATTTATTCTTCATTGTGAACGAGGCTCCTGGGCCGAAACTGAAACGTTCTGCTTTTATGTGAACATTCACGGTCTGTGCTCATTTTGATTCCATGGGCTCGAGATAACAGTCACAACTATAATCACAACAACTTTGAGGGAACACGAGTTCAAATGCTATTGCACATCTTACTGGCTTCGAAAAGAAAACGCACACACGTGTTTCGGGAGCAGTAGCCCGAGCACATGCTATAGAAACGTCATGAGCTTGAAAAAATAAACTAAGAGGTGACAATGGCTGCGACAGTGGCATCGCATACGTAGCGCACTGTGGCACGCCGCCGGTAACGTTTCCTGCAACTTTCCGCATCGTGTAGTTTGCAGAAGTCCGCTCATATGAAGTCAGAGCAATACAACGCTGTTCGAAAATGAAAACACCGTGAAGTCGCCGTTAGAAACAACGCATCCAACCGCCAGCTTTCCTTCGCCAGAGCGAGGCGAGATCACGTGATCCAACCCGGCACGTCACAGCGATTGCAGCGCTCTCGCCTCCAGTGGTGGGCTTCGCGCCCAATAATAAAATGATCACATGAAAATTGTTGCAAAGCTTAGTTGATTTAATGTAATCATGCTCTCTATGAACTCTATTGAGGCGTAATTACTTTTTGCCAGCAACAATGAATCTGACGAGACTAACAAAAATTGTTATAAGCGAGGTTGTTCATATCTGAATGTTCTATAATAAAAGCATTATGTTTCTTGGCATACCTTTTTTTTAATCACGAAGGTTAGGGCGTGCACTTCCAAAGACATGTCAAGGGCGAAATCGGAACTGATCGTGCCTGGCGTGCGCGGCCTCTCTCTTGTGGAACACCGGAATTGCGCGGGAACAGAAAGTGACGAAACATGAATGAAGGCGCGCCGAAGCAGAATCTGGGCAGAAAAATACACTTGTAGACAGCTTATTTGCGTCGGATGAGCGGTGCTTACCCGTTTCTTAAACCGTAGAGAGGCGGGAATACTTACTTCGCGGCCTGTCTGCCATGAAGCGCCGAGGTGGATGTTCTCGAGTTTTATGCTTCACAGACTGAATAAGTGTTGATGCAGCTATCGCAATACAGCGTTTTTCTTGCACACTTCAAAAGAAACGGAGAAGCACCAAACACTACCCGCAAAAAATAAGGTGACGCACAGGCAAAAAATGAGATGGCTCAGAGCTTTCCTTGGAATCATAGGCCCCGCCGCTGTGGTCTAGTGGATAAGGTACTCGGTTGCTGAACCGCAGGTCGCGGGATCGAACCCCGGCTGCGGTGACTGCATTTTCGATGGAGGCGAAAATGCTGTAGGCCCGTGTGCTCAGATTAGGGTGCACATTTAAGAACACAAGGTGGTTGAAATTTCCCAAGCCTTCCACTACGGCGTCTCTTATAATCATATGGTGGTTTTTTTGAAATGGTGATATAAAAACAGGCTTTGTTATGTTGATATAAGCTACAAAAAATAGTATGAAACAATGTTCATCAAAACAAAGCCAGTAGTTTACTGAAAAAAAAAAGTTGGACATATATGTCCCACTGTTTCATAAAGGCACCATCTCGCAATTGCACCAACGGGTATTTTGGGATGGAATGGCCGAAGCAAGTGTCACAGACTATCCCTTCTCAAGTTTTGAGGAGAAAAGTTGCGCGTACCTCATCAGAACACCACCTGCAGTTGCGCTTCCTATGAGCCTTCAAAGCGTTGTGGTTTGTTCCTGTAAAGAATTCTTCACCGCATGCACCAACCACTTTCTTGGATGCATCTTACGGTCAAGTTCAATCTGATGTGCGGCGTGACCACACTTACTGCGCATGCGCGTCACCTCCCTCCCTCTCTACGCTCCCCCTCTTTCACCTCGCAACGCCAGCGCAGTCAGCGTCTGTTAGCCTACGCTCGATCCCTACATCTCTCCTCTAGGCATCCCTCCCTGCGGCGTATACACCTCCATTGCGTATGTGCGTCCCTTCCCCCTCTCTCTCCTCTCCTATGCTCCCCCTAGCGTTATGTGTCGTATGAATCATACGAAAGCACAGCACATGATCACCTGCGCCGTATACGTTCGTCCAACCGTCTGTCGTCTATCCAATTGACTGTCTGTGCATACGTCCACCTGTTCGTCCGTCCGTCCGTCTGTCCATCTGTCCATC